GGCAATGTATTTAATTCATTGGAGCCTCTGGAGATACCCTACATTTTGATTTATGAGAGAGAGGACATTGGCAGATCAAGATCTTCAGACGTTTTTCCGGGGTTTCCTGCAGCTGAAAAAGCAAATGCGCCACTGGAATCAATGAAGTCGCCCCAGAGCGCCAATTAATTTTTATTGTTGTTTTATAATTTAATGTTTCTTATTGAATAAATTGTTATTCAAAAACTATTTTATAAAAATATATTCATCAAAAAACCATATTTTCCAAGAGCCCGATTTTTGCCCAAATTATTTTTCAAGTGTCATTTTACTGAAAGAGCTGCACCTGTGCACATATGATTGTTTTTCGAACGCGTCCCTCAGTGTAGGATTTTAAGAGAAACGGACACGCCAATGAGGAAAAACTCGAATACCTATGAAGTCAATTATATCAACAGTACAATTAATCAATTATCCTGAAAAATACCAGTGTGAGTATCACCAATGCAAATTTTACGGAATAATCCGTGAGACATAATTTCTTCGAATGATTTATGAGCAATAACGATTTATATTAGCATCAACTACTTATAAATCAAGATAATTACCTACCTTAAAATAAAATGTAAGAGAACAATACGACATGATTGAAAAACGAAATCGAATCTACTTGGTACCACCGAAGTAGAACCACCAGAAGAAGTTGATAATTGATTCCTCTAACTCATTGCGAGCAGTACCTTCAAAAAATTACGGAACTCTGAACGTATCGCTCAGAATGAAATAATGAGTGTTTTAACGCATCTGAGTTGATGAAATACGATATAAATTATGTATTCACTATCGAACTGATATAGTACCCTGATAACGGTAGTCAATATTCGTGATTGATGTGAATATTTGAAACTTGAATTCAGTTAGATACTTAACTTTTTGGGGGTTATCAATCAATTGGTGGATTCGTATTAATCGGTTACATTTTACAGGTTATGGAAATCTGATTCACAGGAAGTTATATTGAAAATATGCTGATGCTGTACCAATTCTACCAATACTTGACACGGTACTACAAAAAGTTGAACTTTAAAAATCATTGTCATAGCCAGAAATAGCGTATTTGAGAAATACTTTATTGTGCGATTTTCATTGGACGGTTTACAAAAACGCAACACGTGTTTCGCTATACTATAGATTCTTCAGGAGTGTCTATACTAACGTATAGATAACAAACATCTTTATTGGCACTTGTCTATTGTATAGAGAAACACGTGTTTAGTTTTTGTAAACCGTCGAATGAAAATCTCACGATAAAGTATTCCTTTAATAGTCAGAAATAGTCAATTTTCTCCAATCTGAAAAATATAAAAACTGTAATCAAAAAATTTATATACGTGTAAAAAATGCAAACTTTTTTGTTCACCTCGATAAGTATTTTCCATAAATAGGAAATGAAGATTTTGATTTTCTTCGCAGTCAACTTACATACCACTGATGATATCTATCGCAGTAGCAGACGAAAAAGTTTGGTTTCAAAAATTATTTTACTGTTAATGTATTAATGTCGTGTTATAGTGTATTTTTGGGTTTTTTGACGATGTGAGATATTGAGCAAATAAAAGACTTATTTGATCTATATACCCTGTTCACTTACTTAGTAATGTATATCTTGTACGAACTGGTTCACAATTTTCTGTTCATTCAATTCAAATACACTCGGATCGTGTGTATCCCAAAGTTAGATGAGTTTGAAGATGAGGTAAGCGTTTGAACAAAAAATAAAGAAATACAAATATGAAGTAAGCGTATTTATATTGATTCGATGAAATCTATCGCAACAGGCATGGCTGAAAGCAAATACAAAAATGCTTTTTCATTGGAACAGAACTAAATTATGATGAAAGGAACAGAATTCACTTCAATGAAGTAACTCAGAGCTTATCACAAATCAAAATATTACAAAGTACACGATTCCTTGGCTCAAAGCGTACTATGGTTTAATCTAGAAAACAGATTCGTAACCGATCGCAAATATTGCAAAACAAACGTAAGTGAGCTTCCTAAAGGAAGATATTTTATTCTGAGCATAGTTGAATATGTAATAAATATCAACTAACGATTGTAATGTCTGTATTTACGGGTATTATTTCCTCATTCGAAAAACACGCTTGTTTACGATCACTTTTAACGTATGCATAGAAAAATTCCATTTCAATCAACACACATGGCTTGCTCGTCGAACGATTAATTCTAAGCCTATCATTTATTTTGCATCGAATCGTTTGTTCTGGCTCTGACAATATACCCATAGATAAATATTACTCCTAACCCTATTTTGTGTTCTCATCGTTAGTCATTCAAGAGAATTTCCCACGAACACCGAATGCTTCAAAAAATAGACAGAACTTTCAACTTGAACTTTTTGTACACTTCAGAACTGTGACAATGACAGGTTGAGTTAGCGTTAAACAAACAATTTGGATAATTTCCTGGAGATACTAACTGTCGCAGTTCTTGTGTCAGAAAAGTGACTTTGTTACATTAATGCCACACCAATTTTACCTTTCACAAAATAAAGATACAATTTAAAATATTCCTACTTCAATGCCAGAACATATAAAAATATTATTATTGTTATAATAAACGTATATATGTCTTTAACAGTACAATTTTATTACAATTTTTGAGTAAGTATGTTTTATTGACATCCTCATCTGGTGGAAAGTCGAAGTTTCAACTTTCTCCATACAGGAATTCTTTTTAACTTTCCTTAAGGGGAAAACATCACCACTATTATTGGAATTCGGTCTATCAACGCCTTTATATTTCTACGTTCTCCCGCAATTGTCTGAAATCAACGGTTGATAACAGTGCTAATTGTAATAACCCGCTGTAAGGTATCTTCGTAGCAGAAAAAAATTCAAATTGTAGTATACAATGCTGTTATAATACCGCCAATTTGAGTATATATAGGAGAAAATTATAGTAATGCTGATAATATAAATCTTGAACCAATCTAAATGATTCATGACTAAAACAACACTCCCTTTTCATAATTTCTTTGATATTCTTTAATGAAACCAAGTTTGGAAGAATGAGTTTTTATCAACTTGGCACTTAACCGAAATTATTTCTCCTAATCCCAAATCTTGCAGCTTCGAATGAATTGAAACTGGAACCAATAACTTGTATTTTTTCTATTTCGTTGTAAAGCACATATTTTCATAAGTGACGCTTATTCAATGGAGACTTTTCAATGAAAGCATTCTACCGAAATATTGATTGTTTGTACTTGTGATGCACTGTTTGTCACCTTTGGTATAGTAATGAATATTACTGGAGAAACATTAATCTTTCTCTTGAAGATGACCACGTGGTGATCGACATACGTGCAGAGGTGGTAAAAATAACGGTTTGGTGTTGGGATAAAAATCCAGTAATATTCGAAATCCTAGTCTTTGAAAAGTCGAAAGATTATATATGGTATTTTTATTCTGCACAAATTTTTAACAATCAAAAACTCAAGATAAAATATTAGAATTGTAACAGTCCATCGGAATTTTAACTCTTCTCGACACATAATTAACCAATCTAGTTAATTTTGTCAGGAGAAGAACTAATATGTGTGATTGATGACTGATAATGGTGTCAAAACCCGTGGTATACCAGTGGTATTTAGACAAAAGTGTGTTTTTATTCATTTCATTTGAGGAGAAGAACTAATACTTCTATTCTTCAATAAAACTAATGTTTTGAAACATAAATAGAATACAAAAATTTGGAGTAGGATAGGAAAAGCCGTGCAAAAAGTTCGGATTCACTTTCAATGACATGTTATATTTCAGAAAAATCTTGTGATTTGAAGAGAATATAAAACCAAAATCTTCGAATTATTTTCGATAATTGTATTGCTTAGTTGCTAACAGTACTTAAAGAAAACCAACCATTCTTTCAAATCTGGATATGCCTATAATATTAGTATGGGTGTTATCATTATTATTTAATGTGAAAAATACTTTGCATGATAATGCGACTTAATTCCTTGTAACAGCAATAAAATCTGTTTTATTTTTGTATCCATTTTTTCTAATAGCTGATATTTACTTTCTGAAGTAACAGTTCGATAAGAAAAACATAACAATGCATGGTATTGTTTGCCTTTATAACCGATTTCATTCACTTCTGACTATAAAAGTTGAACTTCTGATAAGTTTCAAGAAAGTTTTATGGTTTTATTTATTGCTAACCACTATCCTTCATAAAATTGTTGAGCTTCTGAATTAGGAATGAACAATTTTACGGAACCGAAAGAATCATTTCTTAAAGAATTTTTTTTTCTTTCCGAATTTTCATGAAGATCAACAGAAACTCTCTAGTGATATGTGAAAACCGGTTAGAGAATATAACGTTTTGTTATAAAGAATTTTTTTTTTATAAAAATCTGAGAAAAACATATTGGGATTTATTCTTGTCAAATTTTGTAATAGGTAAACAGTTGACAATATTGCCACACTTGTTTCACTATGCAAAAGTATTTTTTTATATCTCATACTATAGAAAACGGAATGAAATTTCAGTACGAATCAACGAGGACCAATTTTCAACGCGTATATCGCATTATAAGACAATTTATGTAATCTTGATGTACCGACATGAAATAAAAAAATTGAGTTGAAAAGCTCGAACTGTTAAAACTCAAGAAAACCAAAACATAGAGAAAGGCGAGGAGGCCAATTAAAAACATAGGTTCAATATTTTTTATGGGAAATACAAAAACAGTTCTTCTACACACCAGAACTGCAAATCTCTTCCTAACGAGCGTTTTTATTGAGTTCGGATGATTCTGTCGAGATATAAGTTCCTTCTCTGACTCACAAGACATACATTGAACTTATAGGTACTTCTCTTCCCGCCACAGTTTGGAGCTATATCATTTTTTATATTTTTTCATCAGAGACATCATGTACATTTTTCAACGATACTGACAATCTTATCCTCACTAACACTTTTTCATTTCATTCCAGGCGTTGAGTGGATTCCTGATGATGATGACGCAAAATGGAAAACTTTTGTACATATCGGATAATGCTGCTGAGTACCTGGGCCATTCCATGGTGAGTGTTCTACAGGTGAGCGAACTTTTTGAGCTTTTAAGCTTAAGAGTGAGCTTAATCCATCATGTTTCATCTCGTCCGTCTCATTATTGAATGGAATTCAATTTACGTGCACGCCTAAACGGATCCTTTATACATCATATACTTTCTAATAAGCCGAACTTTATAGACAGAGAGCCAAGTCATATAATATAATGCTTTGTTGGTGATAGACTCCTGATAATTTTAGATTTTTCCATTTGTTGTGGAAATTTTCGGTAACATTTTTTTTGTGGAGTTCTCAGATAGTATAATGGCCCTTTTCTTATTTCAGTATGTCTGAATCTCCACGACTTCAGCGTAGTTCTCACTTTTGAACTATACAATTAGAAAGAGAAAAATGGTGTCACTGAATATGTGTTTCAGGAAATTACTGACGGCCTGGATCTAATAGGCAAAATCACGCAGGGCTTTGAGGTGACATCTGACAACTAGTTCTAGTTTCATATTGAAGTGAGCTCAAAAACAAAATTCCAGAACATATATTCTGGTAGGAAGCTATTAAAAACAATGACACATACACTTTGATGATTCTCTCTCACTCAGAAGACCAGAAAAAATCTCGCCAGCATATATTCATTCGCTTTGTACATTAGTCGTGCCGGTGGGGAATCCTTTGGTCTGGCTTCGCCGAGCGTTATTCCGGATTATCTGTGACTGTATGCCCCTAAACCGACTGATTTCATGTCATCAACGTCAGTGACTTTGCGTTTTTCATCTTATTATTACGTTGACTTCTCCACACGACGTCAACTGCATCGTACAAAACGTTACTACCAGTGAGAGATGACAAGAATATTATAATTATTCCATTCAACAACGACATTTTACGAAAAATTTATTTTTTCGATTTGAGTCGGTGGTACTTTTCGTGATGTACAACAATCAAAGCCCTACAGTTCTCTAGAGTGTTGTTTCGAACCAATTTAGTGAATTAAAATCAATAATGCATTGTGATAAACCATTGTAAGCAAAGTTATTTTGTTGACACTTATTACTGAGTGTTTTAACACTCACTATATAGTCAATCTATTCCTGTCCGCCAATTTTTTCAGTTCTTCGAGGCATTCCCAGACTAGTTTCGATGTCATTTTTAGGTGACACTGCAAAATTAGACATACTTCAGCTTGTGTTCGGTTTTCGACAAGTTTGTATACTAGGTGTCATTGGCAGACATGTTCTCGGCATGACTGCATCAACCCTTCGTTCATTTCTCAGCTTTGTTTGATATTTTTCCAAGTTCATTCTCCAAAAATGCAAATGACATTTTAGGATAAAAATCGATGGGCATTTGTTTCTTGATTGTGGAACCTCACAGATTATATTTTAAGGATTTTCTCTGAATCACAATGGATCTGTTGATTGTTTAAATTCTGAAAGATCGACCAGATGGCGAATCGCGACTATATTATAATCATATTCACCTTCAACTAATATCATCCGGAAAAACGAGTTGATTGCAGAGGAGCCATCGAGCAGCCAACGCGATCACCGGATTTGATGCAGCTGCGTTTTCTATATAGGTCATCAAATCAGTCGTTTGAGACAAAACCAAAAATCTGCCACTCGTCAGGCGTTTCAAAAAGTTATACAAGAAACGTATTAATCAAGAGTCCAAAGATGTTGTGGAGATACCTTGATACTGTACACCTGAAAATCCCAAAGATATCTTAGAAAAAATTGATGAGACGTGAGTGAAGAAATTCGATCACAATTTTTTCAAGATTGGACGATTTATTTCATTCACAGCCTTGCATTTTACTCTATGTCTACGTAAATGACCATATTTCTTTTATTCTCATCATATTTCACTTTTATTAAATATTTTTATTTTTAGCTTTTCTCATCTCATTTTTTCACTGACGTACATATTCACTCATATAGTTCTTGGAGAATTCTCATTGCTTGAGAACAATATATCCTGTTGTTTTCATTTTTCCTATTCATTATAACTTAATATAGTAATATTACTACTTTCCAGTCTCAACTATATTCAAACTCAATTACTTTGTGATTTTTTTTGTAAATATTTATATTTACGCTTTACAAGTTTGTAAGTCCTTATAAATCTCGAAACGACGCACATAAAAAATGCTGGGTACAGCTTTGTTAACTTTTTGCCTATCGAGATTATTTTAGAAAAAATGGTGGATGAAACAAAAATTCAAGTGGTTCATCTGGTTATAAATTATGGTGGAGGAGCCGCGGGCAGTTCTCTGAAAATAGTGATAGCAAAGCGATGAAATAGAAAACAAAAATGAACTAGCAAATAAAGAATTAGTTGAGTATGTTGTTTAATCCTAATGATTCTTATTTGTGTGACGTAGAATGAAGCCGTCAAGTCATCCATTATTAAGTATTTTAACAAAAATTGTCCAGCAATGAAAACTAGATGATGAAAAGGAAGGTTACATCCATTTGAATTGATGTATATATTAGGTAAGGTGATCTGGAACAGTTTTCAGTCTTATACCTTGCTGATATATTTGTGTTTATTCATATTTGGATACAATATTGAGTACTAGCCCAAATGTGAATTTGCATTGATCATCTCACAGTAAAATTACATGCATTTTGCAAAATTTCATGGCCGATTACTATGTCACAACTATTTACTGGATTTGTTGGCCGTGATCTGCAGGCTTTTATGGCTGCCGTTTCACCTACGACTGCGGTAGATATTATCATAAGCGATGAGGCAACCGGCGAAGTGCTCTAGTTGTTCTGACAGCACGACATACTGCTTTATTCAGGGTCTGGGTCTACGGTTTTATTCCATCGGTGGTAGTTTCGTTTCTATTAGGTAAGTTATTTGGCCTGATTGGTATACAGTGCAATACAGGTAGCGAATCTTTTTTATGTTAATTCTCTTTTCCTTTCGGTTGAATTTGTCTGTGTTTCTGTCTCCTCCCTGTATAATCTTGGATGGTAGTCAATCAGTATAAAACACACTTGAATAAGCTATTGTTAAGTGAAACACGAGCTGAGGTTTTGTGAACTGGTTAGTAAATCTCACATGAAGTGTTACTCAGATACGTCAATTATAATACAAGTATAGGTGATTGTAACAAAGAGTACTCGTGGAGAGAGATAGAGGAATTAGTTGGTAGGATAATTATGAGTTCAATAGTCACGAATAATCAGATCATGTAGCATGTAAATATTTTGTTTTAGGAGGACCTTTTAATCCATGGAGATAGTGTATATGACATAATAGATAAGCAAGATCACCAGACAATTCAATGTGAATTGGGACGGCCAGTAAATACGGGGTCTAACAATAATCCAAATGATGAAATTCGGCTGTTTTTATGTAGGATGAATGTTTCTAGGAATGTTAGGAGACAAATGCGATTTGGCGATCAGAAGGTAGGCAATTAAATTGAAACAAAAATAGTTTGGGTATATGACGGGAAGTTTCAACGAGTTGAACTCAGAAGATTGCAATTTTAATGATTTAATTTTGAATTATATGATTTTATTACAATATTTCGCTATTTGGAAATGTGTCTTCAGTATGAAGATGGATTGTTGAACGTAAAAAAGACCTGAGAAGTCAAACTTGTGGAACTCCATGGCTCTCCACAATAACGAGAAAATCGGAGGTTAATAATAACATTTACACGTAATTTAAACATTATAAATACCCACCCATGAACTCCTAACGAACTAAGGCCCGTGATTGATCATCGACAGGCAATCTATCTAGAGGTTGGGACACACCGTATATTGCTTCGTATAGGTTAAAGTATACCGATCCGGATGTGCCTTTCACTATGCAGCAACTACATCTCGTCGTACCCCTCTGGCCCACCTAGTTCAGCAGTAGTGTTTCCACCCACACCCAGAATAGTTACCACAGATACTGAAGGCATTTATCTACATACAGCCCAGTGGCGCACAAGCTCGTTAGGAACAAATGAATTATTCATTGGAAAAAGGTACCTGAATACCGAGCGATTTGAAAAATACATACCCATATGGAGAAGAAAACAACTAGATAGTATCTAAAGTAGAAAAGTTGTGATTTTTCTCAACACAGTGAACGAACTGTATTATTGGCGAGTATCAGTTATTTTCTGTAACACCCTGTATTCAACACTTAAATTTTTGGTTGCTAATATTGATTGTTTTCTAGTATACTGCAAACTTAAATCCAATAGGAATTGATTGTGCTTGATTGAACTTGTTGATGGAATGAGTTAGTCCAGTTAAATTCATTCATACATCAGAAATAACTTCATTTACACAAAATTAGTTTAAAGTTCACTTTTAATTGAATAATTGACAGTTTAAACATATTTGTATTTTTTTCAATGGCCACAAAATGGTCTCTCAAGAAACGTATTGTATTAGGATCTATCAAGGTATGAAAAAAGTCATTTCATAAACTACACCTTACGGTTTGATCTTCACAAACTGCATCAGGTAAGGGCCGAATCAGAAAAAAAAATATGAAAAGTGTCTGAAAAGAAAAAATATTCAATTAGGGTTTGTTTCTATTACTTTTTTGTAATGAACAAACGGTTTTTAACAAACCCTCTGAAAAAAGTATTCCTCCTCATATTATTTCAAAGAATGAAAAGCCGTAGCATAACACAAATTAACAATGGATATGCAATTCTACACAATTCTTGACATGACCTTTCAATCCAACCATCACTATAATTCTTTCGCTTTTTATTCCATTCAAATTGACACACAAGAATCTTAATTAGGAATTTCAAGCTGGGCATTATCCTTCAAGTGACAACTACTGATGAAGATTGAAATCGTGAACAAGAAGATAAAATCTATCAACTAATTCACTCCACAAATTCACAATTACCACCGATTGTCCAATCTTTGTTTGCAGAACAAACTTGGAACATTCCGTTATTCTCAAAATCAGCTACACGGTTGAAACAATTGACGTTCTTCTCAAACTCAAAATGTCTCCCAGAGTACGTGATGACATTGTTAAGCTCGTTAATAACAACATGGCAATTATAAATGGAGATATAATCCGATTAAAGATCTGAAAATGATTATTATAAAATATAATGAATGTAACGGAAACTTGCTATTAGGATCCTTTCGATACACACAAACTATGTAACATGCAAGGCTATGGGTTTGGAAATCTTATTAGGCAACGTTTTCTGCGGCATGGTTGTGATTATATCCATATCGATATGTATTGTGGTACTCGGTTCTGAACCGTATAATTTATATATCGTTGAGTTTGTGTCTATGGCTCTATTAATTTGGTAATAGTCTTCAAAGCAATGGACGACGTCTTCAATTATAATATTGAGGATTTATAGTTAACAAATATATACTCGTTCTATTTCATTGAAAATAACTGATTCCAACCTTAGTTATGATAAAAAAATTAATAGTACCTATAAGTTCATAAGACCAATACTTACGTTGTAAGGAAACTTGAAAAAGTTCAAAATAATTTTCAATCAATTTCCTTCCCCTATTTCATAATTTTTTTAACTTTCTCAAAGTTTTTTCCAAATTGGGAAAAACACACCAGCACGTGGAAATGATCGAATATAGGTTCGATAACCTATAATTAATAATATCGATATGAAATCCGCGCAGTAAATAAAATTCACAACTATCACAGCAAGATGATATTCGTCGTTGGTGAGACGGATATCGGAACAAATGAGGAGATTCTCTCTCCACACACTCCATCCAGACCACTCTGTTAATATGGTTGTTCTGATTACTGGAGTCCTTGGTGAAATGATACTCTCTCTACTCTCGAATCTCAAGATCATGTCATGCAGAAATCTTGGCCGAACAAATGCAGATGGCTGTTATTCTTGGCTCACTGCGCTTGCTCCGGGCACATGATTCTCGGACCCAATGATCACTTATCCCACGGTGTGGGGAGTGGTCGTTAGTTGATAATGATGTTGCTCCCTCCCTAATGTGTTTGGGCACGAACTCCAACAGATCTGGTCATTGAAACTGTCGAGAAAGAACCTGATTGCTGCATAAACATGCTTGCCGTTCCAACCCTACTCTACTCTTTTAGAGTAGTGAAATGGACTCGAGAGGAGTTGTACCAACTCGACGTGATACCCGTCATACCATAATGGCAAGCCATAAAAATGAAATATTTTTCTTGAAACTTTAGCACCCTGTCGTTGGATTTTTTTTCTCAAAATGAACCCGAAAATAATCTCCTGAAGTAACACCCTCTATTCATCCTGTGAATATGTAAAGTAAAACAAAACATATCTGGCTTGGTAGTGTGTATTTTCAAAAAGCATTAGGCGACAGATGTTGGAGTTCGAATAGAAATTTCGCTGAAATTAAATAAGTTATCACCGAAGAAAGGAACTGGTGTTGCTTTGGTATTCCAATGAGAGTTATTTCCATAACCTTGTCGCCACGCTGATTTGCATTCTCTATCCCTGTGGTTGCTGGTTAGTCTCCGGTAAGTAGGCGTCATAACATACAGTATTACTGCTATCCACGGTTGCGCCTCCGCTTACTTTACATATTACGTGTGTAATGATATATAGATCGTGATGCTCTTTTACATGACAAGACATACGGAGTTACTCGAACGTCCCTATTCAATCGATTATCTACACCGTTTTAAATGTTTCTACTGACCCATTTTCGCCATCTTTTATGGTTTCGTTACAGCAAGCTTTGATCAGGTACTGGGTGGTCTATTTCTACATTCCCCGCGTATATGCACGGCGAAACGTCTTCGGAACTAGAACGACCACAACTTGAACTTGCATTATCTGATTTGACTGATGGCGTGAGATATGAACTAAATGAATTACTATTATATATGTGTAACGTGCGCAAAGTATTCGCATACTAATTTTTTGTGTGATGAGACGTTTCTGTTTCTTTTCTGCCAAGCATTCTGTCAGGGTAGTAAAAATGAGTATAATCCACAATGTTTTCAGCAAGAGCTTTACTGATTTGGTGATGAATATCAGCTGCTTTCAAACGTTTAGCATTGAATAAACGAATAGCAGCACGCACTTCACAGTCCTCAATGGCCGGAGACATTTTTTCAATGATTCATTTTACTTGTTGACAATATTCGTGAATACGACAAATTACTGACTAACTGAACTCTGGAGTGAATTATTTTACGCAGTGACTTTAGCAGATACTCCAGATACTCTATTGATTAGACTCTGCCTATTTTTCAGATTTTTTCAAAAAATATTCGCTGAAAACTTTTTTCTGGATATCAAATCTATCTTAGCTGATAATCTACAGACAAAAAAATTATACCACTCTATTTATTGGCAACCTAAATTATATTCGGGAGAATAAAACAAATATTCAACAAGGGACCTGTAAAAACTAGTAAGGCAACAAGATTGACTGCAGAATTTTCCGGCAACTTGGAAGAATGGACATTATGACAATTTAAACGGCTCTGAAAAAAAATGAATAGTTTATTCGATAGTATGACCAATATGATTTATGATGCCTCTGACATCGAGAAAAACAAACGCAATTTTCTGAATCGATCCGTTGAAAAATCAAATAGGAGTTGATTTATCTGAATATAATGCCTGTCGCAGTACTCTAATTATTCCCTAATTTTTAGGTTGTATTAGTACAAGGGAGGTACCTATCGTTCCTTCCCCTTTGTAGTCGTAATGAACCAGTATTTCTGGCATCGTGCACCCCTGTAGCCATGCCCGAAACGAGGGAGTGTGTAGTCCAAGGTGCCACCAACGTCTTCACATCCATACACTCGATGGATATGAGGTTTATCCACATCGATAACAAGTAAGTTCTTATCTTCGAACGAGACCGCATCTGACGATCAAAGCTCCATATCTCCTAATACCAATTGTGAAATCTCCAGTGCCGTACCAAAAGACAATATTCATGACAGCGATAAAATGAAGTTTAATGCTACATATGTTTTATCTAATTGAGAGTGACGCGTCAATTGTCCACCTATATTGATAATTTCTACAACTAAATCGGTTGAAACGAAAACTCCAATTTCAATAAGTTCGTTTATTTCAATTCAATGAAGATATTGAATACCTAAAACGACCGTCTGCAATGACGTTTTTCGTTTATCTATATCAAGTATCTTCGGTATGAATATATAGATACTACCATTGATTAATTTCATCCTGTGGAACACATACTGATTATCAGTTTTTTTTTTTATTTTGCTCTTGATAGATATGAAAGGTGTAATTGAAACCTTGGCGTAGAATAAATCCAAAACAAGCACTTTTCTCAATCACCAGAAATGCAATACTTTTCTCGACGCGCGTTTCACCAACCAAGTTAGCGTTTTCAGGGGATGAAGAAAACAGTTTTCTGAAGACGTCAACTTGGTCGGTGAAACGCGCGTCGAGAAAAGTATTGCATTTCTGGTGATTGGGAAAAGTGCTTGTTTTGGATTTGACAGATATGTTGTCGATTTTATCCGTTCCTACTTGAGTTTTGGCAAAATTCGTAACCAAGTCTTTAATATCACTTCTGCAAAGATAAGAAGGATCTAAGTGCAAACGTAATATGGAATTCACGATTTGATCTCCACAAACTTTATTTGAAAAATATCACATCACAACATGTTTCGCTAGCACAGTAGCTTTCTCATATTATTACTTTCGATACGTTCTCATTGATAGAAGACTTGATATGGAGAAGCTTGAAATAGTCGACTCTCTGTTCTGTTATCTATCTCTCCGATAAGATATGTTTGATGAAAAAAAGGAACAAGAGTATAGTATATATAGAGTACAGTATAGTATATACACATTGAAAATCTATATCCTATTTCCTGTTCTTCTTTTTTTGTTCATGCAATCACCATCGTGACCAATATTCCTGTCCTATCGTTTGATTTATTACTAGGGTAAATGCAAAAATGGAGCTGTTGTTAGATAAAATCCTCGAATTAGTATCAAGATTCCTATTCTTGACATCTTCTAACATTATCAATTGTCATTCTCAAATCTTTTAATTAATTGTACTGCTTCTTAAATGAAATTGGCCCCTTATTATTTCGTTACATCGTTACATACTTACCCTATCTCATGATGTATTTCATCAGTTCGGACTTCCATTGTCTATAATATAATATAAATTGATTTGATAACCAATGCTAGACACAAGAACAGAATAATTAGCAAATCCTCATTTCTCATCCTCTTGTGCACCTTCAGACCCACAAGGTCTTCAGCTCAGGAATAAAGTAATGAAAGAAGCTGATATGCTCTGCTATAGAAGATAAGTTTAGAATGGGTACCGTGGATCCCATTCCTGAACCTTTATTCGCTAATTCCCTGTTAATACAATAGAAAATGTGGGTAATAGACTAGCAAGTCCTCAATTCTCATCCTCTTCGTCTCCTTCAGACCCATGAGCTCTTCATCTTCATAGTCCGCCATCTAACATAGTCCGCCACAGAAGATATGTTATAACCTTTGAATGGGTACCATAGCTCCTATTCCCGAACAGAGGCCACAGGTGGACGGTACTCGACAGAACTGCCTGGCCTACTGCGTCGCCTCCACATACACGGTGATCGCAAAAACGCTTGGTCTCGCTCACAGTACGGCACTGGTATGTCAACTATGAGGTACACGCTATGGGGCTTTGTTCGCTCGTGCGATAAATCAACGTCTGGTCGTGAGGCCGAGGCGGTTCAGGTCACCGGGTCGCGGGAGAGCCGGTGACATCCAATGCCGTAAATCACGACAACTGTTACACTTGTGTTGCAGCGGTGAATTCTACCTGGGCTTTCCGCGCTCCGATCTGCAGGGGGTGTCCTGGTATCGGCTGCTGCACTGGGAATGCACGCGTGAGGCCCAGACCAAACATCGCTTGAGTAAGTATTGCAAAAATTTTATAGATTGTTCTCGCATCTGCCCCACTATGAGAGCCACTATACCGGGTGGTCTTCATTAAATAAGTGAACCGCGGAGATGATTTCATAGATAACTCAGTAGAAGTTGTGTCCTGCAAAATTTTTAATTGAACTTTATTCTTCTGATGATGGGACGTAGATGTTGGGTTTCCATTGAAATATCAATGAACATTCATTTCAAAAACTGTACATCAATCACTATTTTTTTTTCGTTTAGAAAAATATGCATACTCTTCCGGGAACACTTTTAAATAATGTTGTTGATGAATTTCATTAGTTCGGACTTTCATTGTCTAATATTATATAAAATGATTTGAAATGTCTGAAATAAAAATGAAAATTAAAATTGAAAAGAATATTAAGGAAAACACCCTGAAAAGAGATTAAAATAATTAAAAAATAGGTAAAAATTGTATATTTTACAATTGGAATGACATAAAAATCAAAAGATTTCAAGCCGAGTTACTACTACACGGCGTTTCGATTGTTAGTATCTACAGTCGTCTTCGGGTGTCACCACTAAGGCTACTTATCAATTTCTTACTTGGATAAATTGTATCCAACAGGATTATACATTACAGATTTTTCGAATCCAATTTAAATAGGAATGGTTAATAAAAGAGTGTTTGGGACCGGGCCTTCAACGATGAAGATAAAAGTGGAATTTTGTTTTGGTCATAATGTATTGGATCGCACAATATTTGATGATGAAAACCCATAACGTATTCAAAAACTACTTTATTGTTAGATTTTTACTAAACAGCTCTACGAGAAAGCAACACGTATTTCGGTATACAATAGCTTCTTCAGGAGTGTCTTTACTGAAGAACCTATTGTATAACGAAACGCGTGTTGCGTTTTTGTGAAACTATGTAATGGAAATCTCACGATAAAGTGTTTCTTGGATACTGTTGATAATAGGTACATTGATTAAGCCATTTTGATTGTTGAAACGCTTATTGAGAAGAGTGTGATAATTGTGATATGAAAAAAAGTGTTTTCATTGAAGTTCACGATGATTTTTCGAGTAGAATAGTAATTTTGAAGACTTTTTCATTTTTTAATTCTCTATTTAGTGTAAGTGGGTTAAATTATAGTTTAGATTCGGTTTCATTTCCATCACCGAAACGTATTACTTGCAGTAACCCAATCGGAACAAGAAAGATCATGCATCCTGCTGGCGCAAATTCAACGGCGTACAGGCGAGTGGATGTGGATGCACTGCGTGCTGCAAGTGAAAGAGAGCTCGGAAAGCAGTCAACAACCCGTAATCGTGTGTACTAACCAAGTCCTCAGCGATGCCGAAGCGGCTGTCATGAGAACGAATAGCTGGCTCTACCACTACTATTCCGTCCAGAATAAGCTCCAATACGGTCTCACTTACGACGTCGGTCCTTCGTCGCGACTCCTCTACTACCCGGAGCGGTCGCAAGCCCCAGAGTTTGCCGCCTCCCACGACGTGAGCGGGTACGCGCATCTGTCGACGATGCCCGCCGCCCTGCAACCCCATCTAAGTCATCACAGCGCGTCCACGCACACACACCACAACCCTCACCACCACCACCACCGACGAGCTGACTCCGAGCCAGTAGATTATTCGTACAGTAAGCGCAAGCCCAAAGAATTACAAAACCTCGAATTAGAAGTAACTGACCACGATGTGTCTGATGCTGATGGAGGTAGCAGCGGCCTGTTGGTAATATCGCATATGTCAGAAAGGCCAAGGACGCTACTTAAGGTGAGTGGAAATATTTACTGAACTGGAACACTCATATAAGCTATAAAGTGGCCCCCAAGATTACCGAACTGAAAAAAATTGTGAATATTTTCATGTTCTCTCATTTATATTCATCCACATTTTCCAATTACGCAACAACCGATCTTTTACAATCAAGTTGAATTTATTAACTAACAGAAAGTAATCCGATGAGATTAAATCTGGTGAATAGGATGCATGAGAAAGCAATTTGAATTCATTGATTTTGACAATCGCAATTAGTTCGCATATTACAGGACGTAGGTTGTTTGTCCTTCCTGAATATAATCAATAAAAATTATCTCACACGTATCCCCAAAATTCGAAACTATGACCTTGCCTAAGATGGTGTTGTGGAGTGCTGGGCCCATGTTTCGTAGGATATATTCCTTCTCATGGTTGACATATTCTAATCGAAAGTCGTTCAGATCATTGAAATTATAGTAAACATGATTTTATTTATTTGGTAGAGCATTATCCTGATATGCAACACTTGTATTTTCAACTTTTCAACTTTCTACAATTTGAAATTAAGTGTGTTTCATCTCAGGTCGATCCCAGCGAGCTGATGGACCAGTGGAACCCCAGTCCGCCTTGGTCGGACACCTTGCAGAAGGTTCCCGACTTGTGTCACCAGGAACTCAGTCCCTACATAGGGAGTACTCCCCCTACTCCAACTGCGACCCCCAGCACGCAAACCAGCGCATTTTCCTTCGACTGGATGCCGGAACAATACGTCCCTTCGATAGCTTCAGCTGCACCAGCTGAAGACGCCGAAAGACAGGTTTACTGGCCCACGGAACATCGATTATTTCCGTTGCAGCCTCCTCCAAAGAGGAATCATCCGCCCCCAGGAAGATCTGAGTCGGCTGATCGAGACACTCCTTAGCGATGTAGGGAATAGTTAATTAACATTATTTCGAGTGTAATAAAGATGGTTTAGATTTTATTTATTGAATTTCTACCTGAAGAAGGTGCTGTATCTTAGAGGTGTCAAGGCTATTGGAAAGTATCTCAAATATGTTGAGTACCTAATATTGGTTTCCAAAATCATTGTTTAGGTCTGGAAAGCACCACAAACTGAATACACCTCATGGTCGCAAAACGTTTGTTTCCTGGCTCGAAGCTCCTACTCTGTTCTTTCGTGAAAATTAGTCAGTTCAATTTAATGCAGTGTACAATAATTATAACTTTTATTTATACGACAAATGATCAAGCGCGTGTGTATCCTGACGGCACAATATTAACTGCAAATAAATGCACATTTTTCTGAAAGAAAGGAATAAAAATTGTTACCTTACACTTGATACTTGGGTAAATATAAATAATAAATCTAGAAAATTATTGATGAAGAAGGAAAAAACAGAGGTTTAATTTCTTACTTACATAAATTCACCTTTTAATACTTTTGGACGGTATACTTTTGGGTTGAAAGATCAAATTTTTGAGTGCCTTTATACGATCTTCATGTATTTGAGATCCTCCCAAATAGTTGAGGGACTTTCTCTATAATGATATAATGATCTTTCTTTTCCCAGGTCCTTTCTCAAGAAGTGAATAATGGTTAAATTACATGTGATTGGCAAATACCAGGAGCAAAAACTGGTATGCCAGTTTTTTCTTAACGATCCGCCAACACGAATTGTTGTTGTTGTATTTTCAGAACGAAGGCTGGGTTTTTCTACCGCAAGTTTGTATTCTTAAAGATATTTGTTGGTGTAAGTAACCAAATTTTTTCCAGAATCCAATAGCTTCTGTGTATAATCTTGTGGAATATATAGTAATATAGTATAGAAAACCACAAAACTATTTATAACCTTTTTGCCCTAGCAATTTGCAGTGGAAGATGAATTCCTTTATACAAAAGCACCCTTGATATTATGGTTCACCTGTATTTTGCCATATGTATATGTTACAAAATGGTCTCGTCAGTGATTTTGATACAAATCAAAATGAAGAAAGCACTCAAAAATTGTATACCACAGACACTTGTTTTTGACTCATTTGATTTGTTAATATGTTTACTAGTGTCTAGTTAAAATTTATATATAACTTAGTATTGTGCAACTAAAAGTTGAAGGCATGTAAAATGTATCAGTATTATTATCCCTTCCTATTACAAATAGAGAAATAAAATTGTTTATTTATTCCCTTTGTATTTTCATTTCATTTTATTCTAATCAAATTCATTCAAAGTTGATATTGTATTGTCTATCATATCGAACATCCATATGGGCTTTTCTTCGTTTTCAAATATATTGATATTTTTAGATTATCATGTATCATTCAGATTTAATTTTGAATTCAAATTTTTTAATTTGAAACTGAGACCTGTGGCAACTATAGGACACAACAAAATCACAAATTACTTACTTCACATTCTCTTCAGATGGCGGTAGTTTCACATTTTCAGTAGTTGTTAGTAGAATTTCAGTAGTATCAGATTGGGCGAGTTCTTAAATTCAACAGAAAATTTGCGAATAGGCCAATAGATGAATCCCTCAGATAATCAGTGGCTGATCAGTGAATTTAAGAACCCTTCTTTTGTGGCGGGAATTTATGAAATGGCAGCTTGGGTCTCCTCAAAAATTTTAGTGAAATCAAGCGAAAGTGCCTAAACTGACAGTAACGTAACACATTCGACTGTCAGTCGATAGTAAAGTACGTTTTCTGTTTTCAAGTTCATAAAGTATTCTTCGAATGAACTTTGAAATATTCTGCGGAATGTAAGCCTTCAATATGACAAAACTCATACCTCCTGCAGAAAGACTGGTGTTGTAACTGGTAGGTATGCTGAATTACTTTTCCTGCTATTTTTTATTTAGATTGCTTACAAACCGTATTCATTCTACATGTGTTCTTTATCATAAACGAAATACATAACAACTTTTGATTTATGATATTTCATTAATAATAAAAATGACATCTGGAAAAATAATAACACACTATTCGCATTAAAATGTGACGTACAAACAATGTGATTCATATTTTGCGATTTCCAACAACATTCGTATACACTTAAAGCTCACGACAAGGCCCAACAACGAGAGTTATACCACCGTAGAATGCTAAAAGACCTCACTTCTTTTGTACCATTGTTCACGAAACGTAAATTCTGATATAACCGTCACGTTAACGTTATGTTAGGCACGTGCAATTAAAAATGGCAGAGAGTTTTCAACTATGACAGATGAGGATGATAAAATTATTTGGGAAGGATTCCACAATTGGATTTACTGTATTTGCGTGATAACATTCGACTTAGAACTTGGGCAAGCCCTAGAGGTAAGAAACACGACTGTCAAAGTTTGTTAAATGATATCACTTAATCGTTACATTCTTTCAGAGTGTTTTTCCCAGATGTGTTTCATTGACTAAACAAGAAATCTCAAACATATGCTACTTGGCATTTCCCGATTCCAATTCAGGATGTATGGGAGATACAAATTTCATTATAAGACTGCAAACTGGCCAAGGAAAGCAAAATCTCCGTCCTGAACATCACAACTACAATGCCAAATGTGCCACCTCCCTTCAAATCGATGGTGCTTTCTATTGGGGATACGTATACTTCAGGCAGGTCAAAGACATCACTTTACCTAGGGGTTATTTTCAGAAGGTGAGTATATATTTCAGTTTTCATAGAACTAGATTCATGTCAACTGCCACAGAAGTTTTTTTTGCTAATTTTATATAACCTGTCAAACACTGAAAATATATTAATAAATAAACTATCAAGAATACTCAATACAACATGGATCTAGCCTACATTTTCACGAATTTTCTAAACTTGAATTGTTTCAGAGTGTTGTCATACTGTCCTTTTTTCCATTTAATAACTTATTTAGTAAAATATGTAGTTTCATCGCTCCCGAATATTTTGAGAATGGTGAAGTTTGTCTTGAGGCAGTGTGCCACAGCATTGAAAGATGGCCACCCCCAAAACCAGGCATTGCACTAAATCTGCCATTACTAGGATCAGTTTTCCAGGTATTTTATTAATGTCTTCTCTATCTCAAATATTTATGAGAGAATTCTACTTTCAGACTTATATTCCACCATCTAGTAACTGTTCAGTGAACGCCACATTAGCATTGCTTAGCGAAAACAGCGACAACCAAATACAAACACACGTAGAAGATTTAAATTTATTTGAAATACTTCAGCCTGTTTTGTCACATATTCACTTACTATGGGAACTGGTTATTATTTCCGAACCCATTGTAGTTATGGCCTCTTCTCCTACTTATTGTTCATCAATGGTTCTGGCACTAACCAGGTGATTGTTGAAGATTTATTTCTTAGGATACATAGATGTGATTGTTACTGTATTCCAGATTGATATTTCCGTTGCAGTATTGTGGTGACTACCGACCATATTTCACTATTCACGATAGTGAGTTCAAGCAGTTCACTACAAAAGGTCAAGGACCACCCCCAGTAATTTTGGGGGTAACAAACCCTTTTTTTGGGAAAACACTCCGTCACTGGCCACATACACTTCGTTTAAGTGACGATTCAGGTATTTCATAAATGCTCAATGATAAAATTTTCGAGAAGTATCAAAATATTTTGATTTTAGGTCAGTCTCAAAAACAAAAACTGAAAATGTCTTCTCCAGCTAAAATGATCGATAACAGCCCTGGAATTTACACATCACACAAGCCTTTTGTACAAAAAAGCAAACACATCATCAAAAAGCTGATGGTCGGAGTGAGCTCAAAACGGCCGTTTGAAGTGCAGTCAGCTCTAATCCGAAGACATCTATCAGAGCTGACACATAGTTTCATGTTTCCTCTAGAGAGATATATAGCTAGTTTGATGCCATTCCAAAGAAGCATATCACCCTTTAAGGTTAATATATTTCTATCTATTAATTATATATTGATCCTACATTCCCCG